GGAGGATACACAACAAGATAAGTTGACACTATAGTTACAACAGTGAGTGAAAATGTAATACTGACTGTCAAGATGGTGCAGGACTGGACAGTATTTTGTTCTGTTGTGTATAAGGTCACTATTAGCCGAACCCAGCTAACAGCACTGTCTTTTAGAATGGTGTGTATACAAACAAAAACATGCATTTTCCATATACTATGTGTATGTCTGTTTATATTCCTGTTTCCTCTTATTAAACAGTTGGTAGCATCTTTAATCACACTGTATTCTGGAGACTTATCTGCATATCAGATGCCACTTCATTTTTTTTTTTTTTGGCTAATTTTTAAATTCTGCTTCCCATTAGTATATAATTTGGTTGTTTTTAGTCTTACTGTTACAGACTGTTGTGATAAATAACATATCGACACACTTGTATAATTTTATTCCCTCCATTTATATGAAAATAGTACTTTCCCTCTGTTAATATGTTTAACCTGATTTTTTTTTTAAATTTATTTTTTTTTAACCTGATTTTTAATTTTAAGTTTAATTATTTTATTTCCCTTGTGTATTGTTGAATCAGATCTGGCTGGCACAGGAGGAGATTTCACCTCCTTTTCCAGTGGAGCATCTGGTGGATTCAAACTGCTCACCTTTGGAATTGCAGTGCAGCCTCTTGCTACCAGGCCACCAGAGCTCCCTTTAACCTGATTTTTAAAAATTTTTTTATTAATTTTAATGAAAGTTTATGGAGACTTAGGGTTTCCATTCATTCATTGTTGAACTTTTCTCCCTGCCCACCCACTCCCCGCAATTCACTCTTCTCTTTTAACCTGATTTAAAAAGAAATTATTTTTTTATTATTTTCAATGAAAATTTACAGGGACTTTGGATTTCCATTCATTCATTGTTACACTTTTCTCCCAGCCCAACCCTTCCCCCCAGTACTCCCCACTCTTGGAAAAGTAAAAGAAAAATTCTTTCCTTGTTTTGCAATCCCTCCCCCCAGGTCCACTCCTCTATGCAGCTTTCACTTTGGACTCCTGTCATGACAAAAATATCTAATCACATATCCCTTTTAAATAGTTTTCTCCCTCATCTGTTTCAGTGCAGTATACATTATTGAACCCATCTTTCTCAGTCTCCCCCCAACCCTGATGTCAGTCCTGTTTTACAAAACAGTGGCACCATGCAGTATTTGTCCTTTTGTGACTGAGATACTTCACTCAGCGTAATGTCCTCCAGGGTCACCCATTTTGAATAATATTGCATGAGTTCCTTGGTTTTCGATGCAGTGTCGTATTCCATTGTGTGAATATACCACAACTTCTCTATCCATTCGTTTGTTGATGGGCACTTAGGTTGTTTCCAACTCCTTGCTATTGTGAACAAAGCCGCCATAAACATGGGTGTGTATATATCTGCTTGGGTGGCAGTTATGGTCTCTTTGGGGTATATTCCTAGTAGTGGAATTGCTGGGTCAAATGGTATCTCTATTTGCAACTTTTTGAGAAAGCGCCATACAGCCTTCCACAGTGGTTGCACCATTTTACACTCCCACCCACAGTGAATAAGTGTTCCAGCAACCTTGCCAACATTTGTTGCTTGCTGTTTAAACTGATTTTTAATGACTTTTTACAACCCTCTAGTTCTATATTTTTCCATCCATTAACACCTGGTTCAAGCTTACCACCTTCTTGAAGCTTGAACACTTACTTACATTTAATAGTGTGTGAAACCATTATGGTTATTCTGGTTGGGGAGCATTGTGTGCCCAGTGTTGGCTGTACCTTTCAACTACTTCTCAAATGACTCTTGATGTTAAAGATTTAAAGAGTCTTGAAAACCTGATGAAAGGTTAGCTATGAATTGGTTTCAAATCCGTGATAATGAGCTGTGTGTGGGAATCCAGTCACTTAATTTTTCCTCACATTTTGCTGTCTGTCTACATTCAGCAGTTGTTATGATGACAGCAACATCACATTGCAAAATGGCTTTCTAATACTGATGTTGTTGTTGTTAAGTGTCGTTGAGTCATTGATGACTTATAGCAACCCTATGAACAAAAGACCTGAACACTTGTGTAACTTTCAGCCTTTCTCCAAGTTCATAGGGTTTTCAGAAGCAAGCTATTTCGCAAGTGGATGCCACTCCTGCTTCTGAGCTTATTTTAATTGGAGAGCTCCACCAAACACTGTCCACCATGGGTAACCATTATCGCATTTGATACAGTATCACAGTGTTAAGCATCACAGCAAACACGAGTTACCTCTGTATAGCAAATGGACAGACCGGTTACAATACTGATAGTCTTCATTAATTTGTTTCCCCATTCATAAATTAAGTCAAAACTCTGTTTTGTTTAAATGTGAGTGTTATAATCTCTGTGAATTGAACACTTTTTATATTTATCAGTTATATTTGAGTTATGCCAGTTGCCGAGTCTGTCTGTAGGAAATCAAGATCAGATGATTTAGGACTTAATAGTTTGCAAACTTTTATTTTTGCCCTCCAATGAACATTTATTTTTGCCTTCTATTTAGCTGTTGCCATTTCATTTTACCCAGATAAAAACTTTTGTTACTTTTCATCTTTGGTTCTACTGTAGCAAATACATTTCAATACTGATAATCTTAAAAATGAACAAAAATAAAATTTACTGTGGATTTTGGATATTAGTGACTTACATTTGAAAATTAGTACCTTAAATGGCTTTGGAATGTACGATTTTATTCTTCAGAGCTCAGATATTCAACAGATACTTAGAAGGCAGGAGGAAACAATTGCTTTGTCAAATGATGTTTTTTGGCATATCCTTCACAGATCTGAGTGTTTTTGTCTTGAAATAATACTTAAAAACTTGCACCCCATAATCAGTCACATGAAACTAAAAGGACAGCATTTGTCCTCTAACTCCCCCTAAAAAAATCCTAAAACAAAGTAGGGAAAAAAACCCTCAAAAAAAAAAAGAAAGAAAAGGACAGGAAAGGATCAGTGTGAAGAGTGAATCCAGAATGGAAGTGGGAAGAGTTCTTCTCTACTATGAGGGAGGAGATTACAGCCAGTGTCATGAAGCAAAATGTACATAAGGGGTTGAATGAAAAACTGAAGTTTGCTTTGTAATCCTTCACCAAACTGCAGTTTTATTTTTCCCATGTATTTGTTTTTCATCCAAACTACAGTTAAAAAGAAAAAAAAAGCAAACTGTACACCTACTTCTTGCTAATGCCCCAGTAGTGGTAAGCATAATTGCAAAGAACATGATAGAAATAACTGCAAAGGCATGCTCATTTTGAAGACAGGCATTGGTTGTTTTTGTGTTAGATAAGATCAGATACAAGTCACATGATTTTAGTGCTTCTGGTGTTTTTTTGTGTTTTACTGGTACATTCTGAATGTGAGGGTGTTATAACTGTTTTGAGATGAAAATTTTACAGACTTTATAGATTGTACAATTTAATTTTTTGTGGAGATATGTTTGTAATTGGCCCTTTTGATAAGGGGATTTGTCTTATGGATCATAC